TTTATCTACACCTGAGAAGAGGATCATAGTTATCTACACCTTTGATAGCTCTTAAGTGTTCCTCAATGGCCATGAGCTTATCAATTTCAAGTTTTGAGGCTATCTTTTCCTTGACCAACCCTTCGATGCTGAAATCAATAGTTAGTGCTACCGGCGCTTGGATAGTCTAAGGTAATACAATAGTAGGGCTTAAAGATTTAAGAGCAAACTCATATGTGCCTTTTGACATAGGATGGTTAACATGATTAGTGGTACCAATAGGATCTAAATGGGGTATACCAAAAGGTGGTACTAAGTAGCGAGTTTGAGTTATGAGTGGTGGTATAATAGTGAACACTTCGAAAAATAGATGACTAACCGACTTCTCTTTAGATGACAATCTTTGAAGACATGTGATTTTACGGACTTTGTTCCAATAGAGCGACGAAGCCTAGCAACCTTTACCTTTAGTGCATCTATCTCTTTTTGGTGATTTTGTTTGAGCTGAATCGTTTTTTTGTTCATCTTTTCTCTTACTCTAATATGGTAAATGCATAGGGAAAGTGTAGTTTTGGCGGGATGACTTATGTTTTTATTCAAACAGAAGACAAGAAACACAAGGTATAAAAAACATGTTAAAAATAAAACCATGCTTGAGACTCGAATATGAAAGAGCCTTTAAGTGGGGATGATAAGAGGATCCAATTGTTGATTGCTTGACATATTAAAATTATTCTATATTAGTTTAAAGATGAAATTGGGTTTCATCAATAATCTTTGGGACGTTTTGACATTTGAATTGCTTCCTTTATCAATAGTTTAAAGATGAAATTGAATTTTATCAATAACCATTGAAATATTTTGACCGAGCTTCAAAATCTCTTTGATATTTAGACATTGTAAAAATTAGACTTAAATCCTCTTATCGCCCATCCCGAAACATTCATGACAAAACCGCTCGATCAAGGTTTCAATACATCTTACTTGCCTAGTGAATTTACTCAAAAATGATAATCCTAAGGTTTGGTTATAAGTCATTACATGAACATGATAGAATCTATTTAAGTATCAAATAAGGTCTCTATAATCCCGATGAATCATCATAGAATTGATGGGATCACCAAAGGCGATGAGGGATAAACATGAAAAATCGATAGTTGTCTATCGCGGAATGACAACTAGCAAGAAGAGTTGAAATTTCATGAGTGTTATCAAGGGTGAAACCCATCGTGGTACCACTACTACCTCCCTAGGTTCCAAGGAAAGTGTGTGATATACATAAAAAGTAACTATAAGTATAGTGTGTGCATAAGCATTATTCCATATTCGATCCCAAAAATAAAAATATAAATAAAGACACAAATTGAAGTACAAATTAAAAAGGCAAAAACAAAGGTACGAGGAAAACAATGGAAAAAAGGCATGAATTTAAAAATAGTTGAATTATGTTAATCGATATACGAGCATAAAAATTCATCACATATCGAAATGAAATTCAAAAATTTATACAAAGCCTAACCCTAAGTATGTGTCCTCAGTGGAGTCATCATTCTATCATAGAGCGACATCGAGGCGAGATGACAACTTTGAAAAATATGAAATGGGCAAAAATAATGGAGTTGTCCCCTAGTATTATGGCTATTATGAAACCATATAGCTAGTTTGTTTTGAGTTCTTGATAAAAGGTTTGTTACATGTAGGGAAGCTACATTGCATAAAAATTTGAGTTGAATTTTTAATTTTTATAACGAAAGCCTATGCCTATTCTTAAATTTTCACCAACTAGGTGAGTGATTTGGGAGTTAATTGGTCAAAAGTTTTATCCTCACTCTAAGACATAATAAATCTAAAATCTATGACAATTATATTAAAACTAACACAATAGATATGATAAAAGTATATAATAAAAAAATGTCAAAGATAGTCCAAAAATTGGGTTCGGACCAACATGACTTCAAATTCCAAAATTTTCAAGTAAATATGCAAATTCATTGAAATTAGCAAAAATGATTCAAAAATAGGATTTAGATCGACACGACTTAAAATTTCAAATTTTAAGCAGATTGGCAATGTCAATAAAATTGACAAAAAAGATCTAAAAATAGGGCTTAAATCGACACAACTTTAAATGTCATGATTTTAAATGCATGATAAATGAATTTGGCACATAAAATGAGCATGTTAAGCAATGTTGGTATGAACGATCCAAACCAAGGTATAGATCAACATGACTTTAAAGTCATGATTTTTTAGAAACACTTTTTAGAAAAAAATTGACAAAATGATCCAAATAGAGGTGCAAACCGACATAACTCAAACCTTACATTTTTAGGCAAATTGGCGACAATGCTAAGCTAACCATCACAATTGGCAAAACTAGTCCAAAAATGAGATTCGGATAAATGAAACTTAAGAATCATATTTTTTTTAGCAAATCAAGCACAAGATCGATTTAATGTTATCATAAAAAAAAGGGTCCAAAGACGAGGTTCGAACCAACGCAATTCAATTACACACAACTAATAACAAAGATAATTATAAAATAATTAGTCTTTTATTTTGCCTCGATATTCCTTAGGGTCTCTGGCCCATTTCACGAGCTTGATATGCTATGGTGTTAAAGGATCATGCATCCTATGGAGGTGCGGAATAAACAAAAATTTTCCTCCATCTAAGGCCTCAAGATCAAGCCATTGAATCTAGCAACCATACATGCATAAATTTAAAGCAACAAATAAAGGATTACCTCTTGTAGCACAAATCCAAATTCTGTTATTAGAAAAGCCATCTAATTATTCGACCTCTATTGATGATCCACGCAATCTAAGTATCCATAAAAAAACACTCAAAATCAATAGGGTGCTAGCTCTACCTTTTTTGATTAGTATAGTGTTTCCTATAAAATCAATCCCGGGCAATTTTACGACAACCTTAAAAGAGAAGGAAATAGTATATTTTTGCTAGGGTTTTTGGAGAAAACTATTTTTTCTTTTTTTCTTCACCTTTCCGTGTGCCCAAGTTAGTTTTTAGGGTTGGTTGAATTTTTCTTTTTCTCTCGTCTTTTTTGCTTAGTGGCCGCACCTCTCTCTCCCTTATATTTATAGGAGAGTTTCTTTGTCCTTTAAGAGCAAGGAGAGGGGCGACATTAAGTCCCCATTAGGACTCTAGGTTATTGCTTCCTTATCCTCCAAGGATGAGGAGTTATTAGTATATGTAGACTTTTGATCATTATCTTTAAAACGTTCATCCTTATCCAATAAGGTTGATGTTTATCCTCCCATCAAAATATCTTAAGGTTTTTAATTAAACCTAATGAGCCAAAATCATTTTAGCCCAATTAATTTATTTGGACTATCAAAATAAATAATCTTAGATTATTTTTGGCGGGTCCATATTAGAAAATAATTTTTCAAAATACCCTTTAGTCTAAATTAGAAAACTCATTTTCATTTTAGGTTGTTTACTTTCAAATTTGGAAGTAAATTCCAAATTAGAAAATTGATTTCTAAAATAAAAAACTTTCCATTTAAGAAACTTTCTATTTAAGGAAACTTTTCATTTTGGAAACCCTTTTCAAAACAGAAAACTTTTATAATTGGAAACCTTTTTCAATATTTTTGCTTCTCATTTATAATATGAATACTTAAACTTATGTGTGTGACTCAAAAGGCTCCTAGATATGTTGGCAATGTATCAAGAATAAAAGACTCCTCTTTTATCTCTTAATACATAAATCAAGATTGGCCTCTAGCAAAGTATTATGACAAATCAATTTTTTAAAAGGATTAATTAATTTATTATTACCTTTCACGAGCATGGTTACCATATAATTCAGTCCTTATGTCAACTTATCATAGTGTGATCTCGAACTTGGTTATAAGTCTTGCTCGATTATGATCACACAATTTTTCTTCAATTCTCAAATATCTTAGCTCTTAAAGGAAACCAACTATGCTTTATTGGTGTACTCCTACCGAGGCCACAGATTTCTCAAGCGAACATTTATTGAAGTGCAATGTGATAACTCCTTTATCATACAAGGAATGACATGTCCTATCTTGGTCATACGTATATTTCCATTAGATTTCTAGTGCACCTAACGAATCATCCACGTGGAACTCTTTAATGAGTCCATCAAAACGAGTTTCAAAGTGCATAAGTCCTCTAATGAGATAACCATGATGAGTTCGAGTATAAGGACCATTTATACCCATCTCGTATGAGATTTCCATAGACTAAAACTAAATGGGTTTTCATGACGAGTCAAGTCCAGTGATATATTCTCTAAGATAAATCACCTAAATGCTTGCTTTGGCATCATCATGCCAATAGGTGTGAGATCTCCTAGTGCTATCATATAACATATGCATAGTACTCACAAGTCTATCTTTATATAGCCGAGTGTCCATTCTTGACAATGCTATGACTTGGGATGTTTAATGATATCATTTATATGTATTAGTATTTTTATCTCACATCTTTTGATCGATCGCTATTACAAATGCATATCATAAGGACTTCTATCTAATTCTACTGAATTTATAAATATAAAACATAAGAATTAATATAATGACTTCTTTATTATTATTAAAATAAATAATGTAATAATATATTAACTCAAGCCCATCTAAATATGGTTAAATCTTGGGCACTTACACTAACATGTGTATCATAAACACTTTAATCAAACAATCATACAATCAGTTTAATTAATTTATAGTCATACAAATACAAACTAAATTTAATACAAATTCAATTAAATGATTAAGAATGAATTACTTACTAAAAAAAGGCAAAAAGTCGAAGGAATTTTTTACTTGTCAAAATGGGATTAGTCTTAACCTTTTTAACCTCGATGAAGACCAATTATTCAGTCAATTAGGGATGAGGGATGGCTAGCCATTGTTCGATTTGGATTCGGCGTCGGCCATGGTGACTAGATCGTGGCTAGACTACTAGCGATGGTCGTTGGTGATTGGATCGAAGGCTAGATGGCTAGCGGTGGATGTTGGTGACTCGGATTAGATGGTGGCTAACATGCGATGTTGTTTTATCAAATGATGGATGTTGTGCGATGCCGCTAGATCGAATGGGAGGATGTCAATGACAAGGGTTATGTTGGATCGAGTGATGCCGCTACCTGGATCGGATGGTGTTGAATAGTTGATCCGGATCGAGTGGCCGTCGCTACGTGGGAGGACAACGTCCAATGACTAATCTAGATTGAAAGTTGGACAACTTATGCAATTGCTATTGGTGACTAAATTGGATGGAGCTACCGTATGGATCGAACGAGCTTAGACTTGGCATGTTTAGCAGTAGTTGATCGAAAGAGGGCTTAGGCTTGGCGAGTTCGACAACATTGAACGACGAGAGTTGGCGAGTTGGTTAGAATTTCAAAGGGCGAGTGAAGGCTGGTCGAATTTTTTAAAAGGAGAAAGTGTGTGGCTAGTAAGGGGTGAGAAAGAGAGGGTTTTATATGCTCATTTTAAGGTTTGATGGCTAAAGTTTAGTTTGATTGCTCATCTTGTAGGCTTGTTTTATTTTGATTCTTTTTTCTTTGTTTTCTTTCAATTGCATCCTCTAATTATTTTCTCTTTTTTTTTATTTTTTTCTCTTTTGTTTTGAAACATAAAGAAAAATAAATGGATAATTTTTAGGTGCTAATGATGAGTATAAAGACCTCAAAAAATGCTTTTTTTTGCTTTATTCTTTGTCTTAGTTGTTGATTAGGTTGCTTCTTTATTGCTTTTGTTTTGGAACTAGTTGTTCCTTGATTTTTTTTTGCTCATGTTTTTTTCAACCATGTCTTTTTGCCATTTTCAATGTTTTATCTCATCGGTTATGCCGACCATTGTTTGTATCTATCGGTTTGTTTTTCTTTCATCGTTGCGTTGTTTTTCTTTCATCGTTGCATGTTGTTTTTCATATACTCTATTTTCTTTTCTCAATTTTGTTTTTTTGCATGACTCGTGTTTTACCCTTTGGGTATTGCTTGTTTTATTAGTGAAGATAACTTTAAAACTACTTATCGTTTTTAAAAAGATTTCCCATCTTTGTTATGTTAACCAACTTCTCTCGTTTTTGGCAATCGGGTTAATGTGTTTTTCAACACATTAAGGTGTGTTCTGTTTGTTTTTTTTTTTTTTTACTTCATGCATTGTTGTTTGGTCTTTGTTTTTTATATGTCCCTTTTAAACCCCTTATTGCATTTGATTGATATTTTTTACCAATCATTATGTTACTTTGCTATAAGTGTTTATCTTTTATAATAACATTTGTTCTTATTGCATTTGATTGATATTTTTTACCAATCATTATGTTACTTTGCTATAAGTGTTTATCTTTTATAATATCATTTGTTCTTATGGAGCCATCTTTGACAACCTCTTACTTTTAAACAAGTTTTGTTATGCTTTTGTAGGATTTGCTAATAACCAATTTGCTTCCTAGGAACAGTTAAATATTTGTAATATATATTTGTAGATAATTCATTACCTCAAATGAATTTTTTTAGGTGGCCTATTATCTATTATCGTGTACTTATCATTCTTGTTGATTAACAATTAGTCGATTAGCCATCTTCGCTTTATTTTTGTATCAATATTTTTTTAATTCTACATTATTTGCCAAATTGTTCAAAGTTTCTAGTTTGGTAATTGGTGCATATTAGTTCATTGTATTAAATTTTGATGTTTTTTTCTTATTTTGTAGAGGATTTTATCGATATTGAGACTCCGTATAATTTGAATTTTTTTATTGAGATCTTAAATTTTTTCTACCTAATTTAAGAGTTTTACTCTTATGTTGTTGTTGTGTTTTAGAACTTAATGTGCCATGTAAGTACATATGGCAAGCTCTAGCCAATGACGACTTACCATGTGTCATGGTGGCCATAAATTGGGTTTTAAAAAAAAGAAAAATTCTTATGTGGCAAGCTTCCATTGATTAGAACTTGCCACGTGTGCTTACATGACACATTAATGTCCGCAATAATAATAACATAAGAGTAAAAATCTTGAATTGGATAAAACAAATTTAGAGTCTCAATTAAAAAATCCAAATTGTACAAAGTCCGAATATGTGTAGAATCCTCTATAAAATAGGAAAAAAAAATCATCAAAATTTAATACAATCAACTAATATGCATCAATTCTTAAACTACAAACATTGAACAATTTGGCAAATAATGAAGAAGAAAAAAATATTAATACAAAAATATAACGAAGATGGCTTATCAACGGATTATGAATCAACAAGAACAATACACGTCAACGGATAATAGGCCACCTAAAAAATTGCATTTGAGGTATTAAATTTCCCACAAATATATATTATGAAATTAGTAAATTGGTTATTAGTAAATCATACAAATGCGGAACGAAAATTGTTTAAAAGAAATAGATTGTCAAAGATTGCTTCATAAGAACAAAAGACAACATCAAATACCGTATAAAAGATAAACACCTACAAGCAAAGTAACATAATGATTGGTAAAAAATATTAATTAAATGCAATAAGGATTTTAAAAAGGACATATTAAAAATAAAGACCAAATAACGAGTGCAAGAAGTAAAAAAAAAAAAAAAAAACAATGAGCAGAGCACACCTTAATGCATAGAGAAACACTTTAACATAGTTGCCAAAAGCCGAGTAGTCGCTTAACACAACAAAGATGGGAAATCTTTTTTAAAAATGATAAGTAGTTTCAAAGCTATCTTCATCGATAAAACAAGCAATACCCAAAAGGCAAAATGCGAGGTCATGCAAGAAAATTGAGAAAAGAAAAATAATGTATAGTAAAAACAACATGTAACAATTAAAGGAAAACAAACCGATAGATACAAAAAATGGTTAGCATAAATGTTGGGATAAAACATAGCAAATGGCGAGAAAGACATGGGTTGAAAAAAACATGAGCAACAAAACAATCAAGGAACGACAAATCCCAAAACAAGAGCAATAAAGAAGCGACTTAATCAACAACTATGATAAAGAATAGAATAACTAATACATAATGTTTAATTAACGTTAAAAAACTACGCAAAAGGGAAAATAAAAATTTTCCAAAAGCAATATGCGGTAGCTTGAACGAAAATAAAATATTAAAAATAATAAAATTGGAGAAGAAATTTTAAAAAACCAACATCAACCAAAAAAGTGAAGAAAAAAATAAAAAACGAAAAAAAGTAGTAGTTGAACACAAATATAACAACGAGATAATTTTTTTTTTTTTTGAAATTACGGATGTAGTGTACAAACAAAGAGGGCTAAGAAGAAAGACCTCGCAAAGATAGCCGCAACAAAAAAAAAAAAAATCCAAAAAAATAATCTAAAATCGCACATGCGATAGACAAAACAAGAAGGTTGATAAAAAAAAATAATGAACAAAGAAAATCAATACAAGTTAGGGAAAAAAAAAACGAGAGAGAAAAAAAAACACTAGTCAAATTGAATTGTAATGGAGAAATAGAAATCAAGTGTCCATAACCTAAACTAGACTCGTGAGTGGAAGGTCAGTAAGCAATGATTGCTAGAGCACGTAAGATCCTAAGAAAGCAATGGAAACAAAATATATAGTGCTTGAAAAAAAAAAGGATAAGAAACAATGAAAATTAGAGAAGAACATTTTTAAAATCCATTCAACCAGTAGAAATTGAGAAAAAAAATGACAACATATGCATTAGTCGAACAACAAATAAAACAACAAAATTAAAAAAAAAATCTAAAATAACATATGCAAACAAATTGAATTTAAGAAAAAAAAAAGACGAATAAAGACAATTGCAACAACCGGACATACCAAAAAAATTCTAAAAAAGCACATGCAACAAAGAAAGTAAGAAAATTGAGAAGAAACACTAAAAAAAAAAAAAAAAAACCAATAAAAGCAATGCCAAAAAAAAAAAAAAACAAATGAAGAGAGAGCAAAAAACACAAGCCAAACATAGATTATAATATAGATAGATAGATAGATAGATAGATAGATAGAGAGAGAGAGAGAGAGAGAGAGAGAGAGAGAGAGAGAGAGAGAGAGATCGTGTGTCCATTCCTCGAGTAAATTATAAATTAGTCCTTGTTAAAAAAAAAAGCATTAAATAGTTTTCTTTTTGTTTAAAAAATTAATTATTTAGCCTTTATGTTTTTAAATCTACTTGTAACTTAGTTCTTTTGTTATTTTTTTAATTTATTTTGATTTTTATTTTAAAAAATAAAAAAGAGAGAAAATATAAAAAATTATGAAAAGATTGACAAAAAAATATATTTTATAAAATAAAAATAATATTAAATTAAACATAGTTAATATTAATTAAAAAACTAATTGATTTGTTTCTTGAAACTAAAGAGAATAATTTATATTTAAATCTTTATGCCTCAAAATGAAATGCGAGAAAAAGATCGCAAGTAGCGTGCCATCAGAGCACCTATGGTCCCTAGAAAATCGAGGAAAAAAATTAGAACGAAATTGCCTCTGGAAAACAAGAAGAGGGCCAAGTAAAATAAGATAGGCACATTTGTCGAATAGGAGAATCAATACAAAAGTAAAGAACAGGCCAAAAAAAAAAAAACTCATCTTGTTTCATTCTAGCTAAACAAACTGGAAAAGAAATGGCACCGATGAAGCAACCAAACCTACAACAACCCATTTGTTTTTTGAAAAAATTTAATGAACTGTTATGTGCCAAATGGGTGAGTCACTAGTGACTCTTGAATTTGCCCAATATACTACCTTGAGCTAACTGCGTAAACTCGTAATTCTTACCTTTATTCTTATTTCTACCTATTTTAGAATACTACAACCAAAAAAGCTATTGGAAGAGACAATAGAAGCGAAGTAGAAGAGAGAGAAAAAAATTGAGATAAGTTTTGTTGAAGGGAAAGCAAATCTCTTTGCTAAAAGTAATTCTGAATTAAAAATGATCGTCTCCCGTTACAAAAGTTTTACAACTTATTTATACACCTATTCCTAACTATCTTCCTTATTAGAAGGCAAACTATCAGCTAAGCTCCTAATAACTAGCTCTACACATGAGAATAGGACTTAGCAAAATACTAAGACAACTCTTAATAACCTAGTTCTAGATACTACTCACGTGGAAGAACTCCACCAAACAGATTCTTATTTCAACAATTAAATAAAATACACGACTAAGAAACTATCTTTTCCTCAAGGTGAAAATCTAAAAAGTTGAACTTAAACTTTTGCAAGTCCTCCCATGTTACATACATAGGAGAGTGCCTTTGCTAATGAACAAGAGCTTCCTTACATTGTTTGCGAATCCACTCACCAATCATGGTTGTGGACTTGTGGTGTTGCCAAAACAAAGTCTTCTCCTTTGTGCAATCTTGGGAGTTGCTCTAGTACCTGTACAACAGCCTTAATTTTCTTTAAGCATGATACATGGAACACTGGATGTATTTTTGACTTGCTTGGCAATAAAAGCTTATAGGCAACAACTCTGATCTTTTAAACGATCTCAGATGGGCCGTAATACCGAGGCGACAACTTAAGGTCTCTTATGAGTGAAACTGAGACTTGCTTGTAAGGCTATAGGCATAGGTAGACAAAATCTCCTACCTTAAAACTCTTGTCAATGCAGCCGATATCATAAAATTTCTTCATGTGATTTTAGGCAACTTGTAGTTGCTCTTTTAATTCCTTGAGAACCCTATCACGATCTAATAACTCCTTGTCCACTGAATCTACTTGAGTAGTGCCTGGAATATAAGATAATAAAGATGGTGGAGCTCCACCATAAACAACCTCGTATGGAGTCTTTTTTGTGGAACTGTGAACACTTGAGTTATAGCAAAATTCTGCCTAGGAAATCCATCGAGTCCATTCCTTTGTCTTGTTTCTTGTAAAACATTGTAAGTACATCTTGATTGTTCAGTACACCGCCTCGATCTGGCCGTTTGATTGAATGATGATAAAAAATTAAAGTTCATTCCTTGGAAATGGAAAATTTCCTTCTAGAAAGTACTTGTGAAAATTGAATCTTTATCATAGACTATAGATTTCGGCATGTAATATAATTTCAAGACATTGTAAAAAAAAAATCTATGCTAGTGATGTTGCTGTGTAAGGATGTGAGATAGGAATGAAATGAGCAAATTTTGACAAGCGATCAACCATGAAAAAAATGGTTGATTTCGCTTTTAAGAGAGGTAACCTATCAATAAAATCCATAGATACATCAGTCCATACCTATGTAGGAATAAACAGTGGTTGTAGAAGATTGTATAGTGAAATTGGCATGTATCACATTGCTTCATATGTTCTCAAATGTCTTGCTTCACTACCAAAAAAATACAAAGTAGCAACAGATTAAAATCCGTCGCTATTTAGCGACAAATTAGTGACGAATTCATGACAAGCTATAAAAGGTTGTGTTTTGCGATGGATTGCGATAGACTAACGAGGGATAATTAGCGATGGTTAAAAATTCATCGCTAAATAAGGTGAGCAAAAATAGTGCTAAAATCAGCGATAGATTAGCGACGGCCATGTCGTTGCTAAATAAAAAAATTAGCGACGAAATTTGTTCTCGTTGCTAAAATCCTTATAATTTATTGAAGTTAGTGATAAATTTTAGAATCCGTCACTAATATTAACGTAAAATTAGCGACGGACTTATGTCCATTGCTAATCGGTGGGATTTTAGGTGGAAATTTCCCCCCAAACTCCCCCCAACGACGGGCGATCAATCGTTACCTAGAGACGGGCGACCGGCTCGTCGCTGGGGGCGGGATTTGGGGGGAAGTTTCTTCCTAAATTAGCGAAGGACTCTCAATCCATCGCTAATTAGTGACGAATCGATGATAGAATCGGGTTCTTCACTATTTTGCCTATATATACTTCCCCCTTCTTCCTCTTTATTTGCTTCCTCTTCTCCATTTGCTTCCCTCACCTCCATCACACCTCCCCTTCGTTGCCGCCCATAAAAATGCCACCCACATCACATCACGCCACTAAAATCTTTTTCAAAATCATTCAACAAAGTGAGAGGTATCTTTCTCCCTCAAAATCGGATCATATATGTGTTATCTATCCTTGATCTATCGGGTAAAACTTTCTCTCTCTAACTCTTATTTTTTTTAATTAGATAAATGTGACGCCCGGCTCCCTTACCTATTACCTAACAGGCGTGACCGGCGAGACACACTCGTTGGGACTAAGTCCCCTACTTCCTCCATCGTACACAACGAAACTAAACCATGGGAAACGCATAATATAATTTACAACATTATTACGGATAGTTCTATAATTTAAAACATATTCAAAATGCCTAAAAATTTTCAACCTAGGCCCATACCCCTTTTTATTGACACAAAAGATATTCCTATTTTTATGAGTGGCACATGAGCCTCTGTTAACAAGAACCGGTAGCATCCTCGATCGGCTTAACTTTGCCCTTGCTTGAATAACACACAAATACAATAACGGAATGAGCCAAAGCTCGGTAAGTAGGGTGATGCACGTGATATGCGAGTCTTATTGTGTTTCCCATATTTTCATACATTTTAATTCGGGTACCCTAGGTATATGCAATTCCGTGCGCCCAATCTCTCGATGATCGTGTTATCACCTACTCGCTCTATTACTTTCTCTCGGTGATCTCAATATCACCTACCGCTCGCAACGGAATTATCCCTCGTTGTAGCACACGATTAACGGAATTATCCCTCATTTAACGAGTGTTAGTAAATAGAGCTCGCACTATGAATTTCTTGCTATTACCCAATCCACTCAATTCGGTTACCAAACCATGTCAATTCAAGACTCAATGATTTTTCTCAATTTATTTCCACCCCCAATGCACATGATGCACGTGATGGCATGTTTAATCACATTCAACCAAACTCGGGTACCGACCCTTCTTTCTCAAGCCATACTCACGATCCAACCATCACTCGAGATTCACTCGGCGCTCACATACCAATCATGGTACTCATAGTAGGAACACAACCTCCGCTCATTAATATTGTTTATTAGTTTCACTAATAATTAAAGAAGGTCCAATTCTTCTTCTTTTTTTTCTATGAAAGAATAAATTTTCTTTAAAATTTTAAAATCCTTTTTATTTCTATCAAGTCCACTTATTTTAGCCTAAGCCCATTTTCGTTAGTCTAAGCCCATCTACTTTAAAACAAAGCCTTTTGATTTTAGTCCAAGTCCATTTCCAAGTTTATTTTATTTAAGTCCGGGCCCATTAACATTAATCCAAGCCCAAGTCCATTTGTTTTAATCTAAGTCTATTTTATTTTTAAATCCAAGCCCATCTCATTTTAACTCAAGTCCAAGCCCATTTATTTTAATCCAAGTCCAAGTCCATTTGATTTAATCTAAGTCCACTTTATTTTTAAATCCAAGCCCATCTCATTTTAACTCAAGTCCAAGCCCATTAATATTAGTCCAAGCCCATTTATTTTAATCCAAGCCTAAGTCCATTTGTTTTAATCTAAGTCCACTTTATTTTTAAATCCAAGCCCATCTTATTTTAATTCAAGTCCAAGCCCATTAGCATTAGTCCAAGCCCATTTACTTTAATCCAAGCCCAAGTCCATTTGTTTTAATCTAAGTCCACTTTATTTTTAAATCCAAGCCCATCTTATTTTAATTCAAGTCCAAGCCCATTAACATTAGTCCAAGCCCAAGTCCATTTGTTTTAATCTAAGTCCACTTTATTTTTAAATCCAAGCCCATCTCATTTTTAACTCAAGTCCAAGCCCATTAATATTAGTCCAAGCCCATTTATTTTAATCCAAGCCCAAGTCCATTTATTTTAGGTTAAAATTTTTCAGCAGTGGCACAACCTAAACAACCTATACCAAATCAGCCATAACTCCTTAAATATATATCTAAACCTCACAAAATTTTAAGGGGAGATATTAGACATATAGATCAACAACTTTCAGTGTTTAAGTGTCCTCCAAAAATCATTCTAAAATCCTTAAATAATTCACACAAGTTTCGGAACTAAATAAACTTTTCCAGTAGCTGGTCCATTCAACGACCCATACTAAATCAGTCATAAATCCTTACATACAGATCTAAAAATCATGAAATGTTAGATACATATAGTAGACACATAGATGAACAACTTTACTTCTTTGAGTTCTTCCCAAAAACTACGCTATGATCCCGAAATAAATCGCACAACTTTCGGAATAAAATATTTTTCCAGTAGAGGTTCCATCCGAACGATCCATACCAATTCAGTCATAACTCAATATATATATCTCTAAAAGTCATGAAATTTTAAAGGAACATAGTGGACACATATAGAAACAACTTTCATGCTTTGTATTGTTTCTAAAAATCACTCTAAGATGCCGAAATAAATCACACCAAGTTCTGGTTTTTCCACCCCTAAAATCCGAAAATCTTTTCTTAAAGCACATTTCTCAACACACATGCTTAACCATCCATCATCAAACATCCAAGTGTTTAAAATCATCACAAATACCATAATCACATTTCACATGAATTAAATAACTCATAAAATAAACATGGAAAGCATAAACAAAGCAAGAAAAAAAAATGAAACCTACTTACATTGGATTAACTTTCCTAAAATCTCTTTTGCTTCCTTTTAGTTTCCCCTTCTTTTTCCTTCCCATTTTTCCTCTTTCTCCCCTCTCTTTGACTCTTTCTTTCTTGGTTTTAAGGCAGCTACGGGATGCACCAAAATGCATCCTTATCCCATTTCTTCTTACTTAAATATCTCACCTAATCTCATCCATTCAATGTTCATTACAAGTGTCAAAAGCTTGTGGTGAAATGCAAGGTAAATGTGGCTGAAATTAATGAAATGATGGGTGTAAATTTCAAGGAAGAAGAGGTGATGATCAATGAAAATTTGTAGAAAGTAAGGGCCAAAATATGATTAAATGAGGGTAATTAAATTAACTACATTTTCAGAATTCCTTCCGAAATTTCGACAATTAGCACTTTCTCTCTCTTTTTTTTTTTAATTTATACTTATTCCATATAAAAGAAATTTTCTAACTAATTTACCCAATGTTTTTTTTTAATATATATATAAATATTGATATACACCCGTTACTCTCAACAAATACGTACATACCACATATTCCAAGTACATATGTTGACTCGGTTACAGATTTTCACGTACGTAACCGATATACTATATATGTATATACGTACGAATATAAATATCTCGATACGTACATTTATACGATTATGGATTTTATGAGGGTTACAATAAATGTTATAAATTTTTAGTTAAATTTTTTATTTTTTAATTTTTTAATTATTTGAATGTTGTTAA